AAAAAAAAAAGTGAGGGGATTTTATGGTATGCAGATTATACCTCAAGAAAACTGTTAAAACACCTAATCGATATATTGAGAAGAAAAAGGTATGGAAATTGCTTTTCTAGTACAAATAAAAACAGAACTACATGTAAGTACAGAAGAATATAAATCACCTCTAGATTCTGTCGCTCATTTGATGCACTAAAATTGTTTCTAGGATGAATGCCTGTCAGTCAATTAGAAATGCAACATTTCCCTTGTATGAGGACATTACAAAGCACAGAGAGAGAAATACCATGGATCTCCGCTTAAGCAGGCTCCAGTCTAATGGAGGAAGCCAGGCAAATGGCAATAGTGAGAGTGAGGCTGGTGAGGTCAGTCTTTCTGTGGCATCCACTCTCTTGTAGAGAGAGTGGCCACTGACTGGGCCAATTGCACAGGTGTGGGCCCCCCCCCCCAACCCTTCCTCAGCACAGGATTGTGTCTCTCTATTCGTGCAGGGCCACCTTTTTAGATGGATGAACCACTCTTGGCTCAAGGAAATTTGAGCCTCTGCAACCCTATGCTGGAATTTCCATAAAAGCAAAAACAATCCTCACTTTTCAAAATTAATGTGTAGACTGCCATTCAAAATTATAAATGGTGAAAAAAGGTGAGGAGACATTCTAAGTGGGGAAATGGAATGCATAAAACACAGAGGAGGAAGAGGATCAGGAAAGGGAGCCGCCTGTTTTGAAGAAAAAGCAGGGATGGGGTGAAGGCAGCAGGAGGTTCCTGTTGGTGGATGAGGAGGTGGGTAGGCTAAGGGGGCTGGGAGCCTGGGCATTTTCATTTGGTTTCAAACACAAGCAGGGGCTGTGTAAAGGGGAGATAAACTCAAAAGTATTGAGAGTTGAGTCAGAAAAGGGATGGGGTGGGGAGGCCAAAGGGAAGTCAACGTTCAAGGCATGAGGCTGTTAAGGTCTGAGCCTGGGTCAAGGCCACGGCTGGGAACCCTACTGAGAAGGAGGCAGGGGCCTCAGTAGATGTGGACACGAGTGTGAAGGGAAAGGAGAGCAAAGGGCTGATGAACTCCACCCAACCTGGCCACGGAGCTTGCCGATACCAGTGCAGACCTGTCCACGTGACTGAGCCCCAATGTGATGCTTCATGTATGGGGAAGACACCGCTGCTGGGTGTCAGGGGCCAGTGCACAGAGTAGCGGCAGCTGGACACCACAATCTCGA